GCTGAGTGGGTGGGGGGCATTGAGGAATCTACTCCTAAAGTCATTGCTTCACTGAGTGCTAACTAATTTGGATGTAAATTTTAAAAAATAGAAAATAAAGTTACAACAAACAAAAACCTCTGGACACCAAAGTTTGGGTAAGCTTTCCTAATTAGCAATATTCTGTGTATTGTCGCACACTGATGTGCAAAAGGTCCCTGGAGATGAAAGCAACCTTGTATTTAGGACTTTCCCAGATCTCTTCCTATGTATTTTTCTGTCTGGCTCTGGTTTGTATCTATTTTTATAACAAAATTGTATTCATATGTACAGTGGTTTCCAGAGTTCTGGAAGTTGTGGGGTAGAGGGAACCCCTGAATTTGTAAGCAGCTGGACAGGAGTAAAGGTGGCCAGAAGATCCCCCAACTTGCGGCTGCTGTTAAAATAAGGATACTCTTGGGGGGGGGGGTGTGTGTCTGTGCTTTGTGAAGTTTGGCTTAACTCTGGGGAGCTAGAAGTCACTGACAATAAGTATACAATGTGATCTAATGGACAATATATTTAGAATAAATAGGCCAAACAACATGGACTATTTCTCATAATGATCCTCAAAACAAGCTCACTCCAAAGCACATTCCAAAGCACATTCCAAACTCAGTGAAGTGCAGAGGGACTGGGGGAGAGTTGTTGTGATGCAATATCGATACCTGCTTCCTCCTGATTGGAGGTTGAAAGTTTAAGTCTATTTAGAAAACTACTGAACTCAAACAATTTCCCCTGAATGTGGTGTTTATAAATATTGGCTGGTAATAATCTTGACTTTGTCTTTCCAGTAAAGCACCTGGAATGTTAACTTTCCTCAACTCTCGCTTGGATGCAGAGCCACAGACCTTAGAAGGTAATCAGGAGATATTTCAGTTGATTCCTTCGTAGAAACTGCAGAGTCCTAAACATGGATTGGAGCTTGCATGACAAGTCAGAAATGACTCCAGAACAGCCACACACTAGGTAAAAATTCCTCTAAAACAATCATTTTTAATCCCCACTCCCACCATCCCAACACTAGCTACTGGCCTCTAAAGTTGTATTCTGTTTATCATGGTCACAGAATTTTTAGCATGGATGAAATTTTAAATAAGGTGTTACCAGTTGCCTTGTCCCGATTGGGTGGGTGGGTGGAGGGTTGTCAGAAAATTACCCAAATAACACCTGGAAATGAGTCACGTAATTTGCTAGCATATCCTCCAAAGACAAACTTCTGGCAAAATGTATACCAAGATAACTAAATACAGGAATTTATTGATGTGCTTATCACTAATAACTTGGTTAAAAGATCAAGATTGGGTACCAAACAAGAATAGATTTTAGAATTTATTTATGACAACTAGTTAGTTGGGTCAGTTGTCTCTTCAAGCTATACCTCATTCAGTAAACAAAAACATGCATGTGTCTCTTTGAACTGTGTGAAAGAAAAGCATCTACTTTAACTAAAAGTGTCACTTAATCACTAAGATATTAATTAAAATAAAGCAGATGGAAAAGGAGGAGTTCTCCTCTGCTATTGTGCTTAGTATTAAGAAAGCCACAATGAGAAAATGCTGGAAAATCAAAAAAAGAAAAGAAAAAGAAATCATTCCTCACTTAGAATCCAAAACTTTATATACTTGCACCTGGAATTGTACACTTTATATATATTTTTAAGTTGATTTGTTTATTTTGATAGAAAAGAGAGCATGCACATGAGGGGTAAGGGCAAAGAGAGAGGGAGACAGAAAGAATCCTAAGCAGTTCTGCACTGTCAGTGCGGGTCTCGAGCTCACAAAGTGTGAGATTATGACCTGAGCTGAAATCAAGAGTCAGACACTTAACCAACTGGGCCACCCAGGCGCCCTAGAATTGTATACTTTAGAAGAGTGAATTGTATTTATGTGAATTATATCTCAATAAAGCTGTTATTTTTTTTAAAGGAAAAGAAAAAAAACCCTGAAGTCACAAGGCAACCAGACAAACTGAATTCCAAAAGGTGATAAACCTGTCTGAGGAGAGGCAGGGGCACACACATTATCTCCCCTTTGGCAGAACACAGGAGGAAAAGACAAGTAGAAGAAAACAGCTGAAATTTTATAGAATTTTTAAAGGCTAAGTCCCTGGGGACCCTAGACATAAAAGGGTCCAGCTCTTTTCCACCGGTTTCCTCCAAGTTCTCAGGAGAAAGACTGGGAGAAGGGGGGAAGAAATATGAACAACAGCCCATCGGTGGAGAGCAGGCACAAAACCCCACTTGCTTCCTGGGGACATTCTTTAGCATTCAAAGCAAAAGCCAGAAGCTGCCGGGGGGAAGGACCCAAAGCCTGCATTGCTCCAAAGCAGAGGCTTGCCACTACCAGGGGAGAGGGCAGGAATGCTGAGAAATAAAATCTTGTATCTGAGTTCTTTCTGAGTGTGCAATAGTGCTTTGTGGTATATGAGCTGGATATGAAAACAGGACCAGGAGATCCTACCTTGCAGTGTGTCAAGCAAGTACGACAAAGCATTTTTCTTAGAAAATTCAAGAAAGTTATAAGCATGTGTTAAAAGATTTAAATATTAAAAAAAATAAATATTTAAGATATTTGAAATTTATGGAGATGAAGCTTATCTTCCTAAAAGATGGCGTACGTCCAGCTGCAGCCCAATGGGATGATAGGGAAAGAAGGCTGACAAGGAGACCTGCAGCAATGCCCCTTGGTCATTCTGTTCCCTAAGATGTCTGGGGACCAGCAAAGGTCCAGAGTGCATTTATTTTTTTTACTCATATGACGGGATTACAAAAGATCATACAGTCAAGGAAAGAGATGATAACATGAGAATTTAGAGATCTTAGAGGAGTTAAAACCCCGAAAATAATCAATCCTGGAACAGTTTAGAATTTAGATTTTCTTACGTTTCAGCCATCAGTACAAGTTCAGGGCAAAAAATGAAACAGTAGACAGTCAACAAAATGGAGGTTTAAAGAAAAGCATTAAATATTAAAAATTGCATCAGTCAGATGCAGAAAAAGGTCTGTACTGTTGATATAAATGAGTCACAAAGTACTTGCTTTCTTTTGAAGTGACTTGGTTACAATACCAGAACCCAGACTGCACACCAAATGGCAAAACCCCTAATACATATGGAACAATGATGAGCCTTTTCTTTTTAAGAGTGTGAACATTTGCAGCTTCTAAGTACAGCACTGGAGATTCTGGGCTGGCATTCCTTTGAGAAACTGACATCAAGACCTGGAGAATGGCACCTCAGCTATCTTTGGTGATTAAAAAAAAAAAAAAAGAAAGAAAGAAAGCGACCACAGAAGTTTGTGTTATCTACTTCCTGTTCTCCAATGCCTTCTACCACCAAGAAGTAAATGAACTGAAATTAACATATAGAAGGTTGGTTGGTTGGTTATTTATTTATTTATTTATTTATTTATTTATTTATTTATTTATTTATTTATTTTTGGTGAAAACAGGTGACTTGGACACTCCAGTTGGCTAAAACAAATGCCATTTACTCAGCAAAACATTTCCCAAATGTTAACTAAAGGTTTGATTTTTATACTGGGCACTGCAACCTATGACTTCTTTTTGGTTATAATCTGGAATTCACAATTGTTTTAAATTTTTCCTACTCACTGAGAAAAGAGTTTCAGTAAAGTAATCTGTCAATATTAAGTTTTGAGTGTCTACACCGTAGCTGATAGCTAAAGCTAATCCTCTACAGACACCAATTTTTCCCAAATCACTTTGGTCATGTGAATTCCAAAAGCATTTCCAAAGCATTCATTCGCCTGCAGTGCCATTCTAGAGGCTCACCTCAGGTATCAGCTTCTCCAAAAACTCTTCCCTTCCTCTTCAGGAAAACCATGAGATTTCGGAGAACAGTATCGCAAGCAGAGCAAATAGCAAGTGCAAGTGCAAACAACATGAGATGCTGGACAGAGCTTGGTGTGTCTAAGGGACAGGGATGGAACATGGCCACTGTGGCTGGAAGCAGTGATCCAAGTGGGTGGGAGAAACAGGCACTAGACCCTTTGGGATCTTGGTAAGGAGTCTTGATTTTTATTCCAAATAAATTTGAAAGTATTGGAAAATTTCAAGTAGTAGAGTTACATGAGTTGAATGAGTGAACAGCATATGAACTACTGAAACAGTCTTCCAAATGTTTCAGACTCAGGAAGGATAAAAACTAACATCATCTTCTCTTGTTCTTTCTGCCTTTTCTCATATCTTCTGACAGTAAGCAAGGTATTTTCATTTTGATCTCACTCAGTTTTGGTAAAGGCTTATTTTTTCTATCACATCCTTTATCTAATATAAAAATTCAGTATAAGGAAATTAAAGTACAAAAATCTCAGTAAACTTCCACTAATTTAAGGATTCAAGAACAAGTTTGATTAACAAAGTAAAATGGAAATGAATACATTTTGTGTAAAGTATTGATGTATAGTTTCAACTATGTTCAGAACAGAATCTGCCTGCAAGTTCCTTAAATATGTTAGAAGCCCTCTGAGTAGGGGTCAAGTAAAAAGCTACTCATTCTCCCCAAAGAATTCCTTTTTAAGTGTCAAAAAATGCCAGGTAGCTCCAGGAAAGACTAACCTGTCTGCCAGAATCTGATGACTTCAGCAGTCTGAATTTATGTTAGCAATATACACATACAGGATACTTACTATACTTTAACAAAAACACACCTCTGCACATAAAGGCAGGAGTAGCTGTATGAAAGCAAGGACTCTCAATGACACAATACCATTTCTTAAAACAGAACAATAAAATCCACTGTTCTCAGCATTTTATGAGAGCTGAAAGAAAGTTCCCTCTGACAATAATATCAAGGATCTTAATAAATAAATGAGAAAAGATATGTCAAAGACTAAAGCAAGACAGTAAAACATAAAAGCCAGAGAGAAATTTCTTAACTGGTTTATGATATATACTCCCACAAATCCACGAGGTTCGATGTGACTAATATTCCACCTTTTTGAAAGACATCAGCACCTCCTACCCCTTCTGAAACTGCAATGATAACAGCAACAACCATCTGCTTGCTACATAGGATAGAAAGACAGCATTTTTATTCTACTTAGAGTCGTACTGAAGTGTCTTCTGAAAAGAAAGGAAGAGGCAGGAGAGATAGACCATCTAGAAGAATTAGCTACTAGAGAAAAAAATTACATAAAGGTAACCGTTACACGGAACAGACCATTACTATGAAAAACGGAAAAGCAGAAGTACAGAAGAAAAAAAATTGCAAGAGTTAAACACATGAGAATTAGAAAAGCCTCATTTCTATTTGTACTTAAGATATGAGGGAATCTAGCCTAGGCAAAAAGAGGAAGAATTAAAAAGTGGAAAGGTGGCTATAGAAGACTGCAAAATGCCCACCTCTGACACTAAAAGAGGAGAGAGCTATGGCACGGATCAGCACAATCATAATACTTCCGTCAAAGGAAGTATTTTCTTGGATAAACTCAAGGTCAGGGATATCCCTATGTTTCTCTAAAGATAGGGGAAACTCTGAAAACACACCATCTTCAAGTTTTAAAAGAAAATGTAACAAGCTTAGGCCCAAAGGAGTAAGGAATCTCCCACTGATTTAAGATAATAAAGTAAGAAATTGGATTTTCTTAAAAAAATCTTACCAATAGAAACAAAACACTATTATTTATTTACATATGTATTCATATACCATTCTTCCAATTTTATTCGTTGTAACAAATGTCAGTTTAGAAAATGTCACTTCTGCTTCCAGAAGTAGGATCACATTGGATAAAGGATCCTGGTACAAGTGGAAAAAGAATGGCGCGTGGGGGTGGGGGTGGGAAATAGTAAAAGTCTGACTTGCTTCTCTTCCTTTTTCAGTCAGTAGATAACTGTGGCCTTGAACATTTCTCCCAGCATCTTTGGCCCTGTATTTTCTATCTAAACAAAAACAATGATATCATCTTACTGGTCTCACAGAGCCAATGTGTATAAAAAATGCCATGTAAATTTCAAGTTTTGCTGAAGGAGTTCAAAGTGGTAAACTTGAGAATTCAGTGTAGTATAGTTTCAGGCTGAGTTTTCATGTTTCCTTAACGGAAACATTAACTAATCTGAAGGTTAAAATCACTCAATGGTCATTTTTGCTAACTTGATCTATGTTGATTGTTAAGAATGTTACAATTCAAAGGGAGATATCACATTATATTTGGGAAACTTATTCTAGATGCAATTAGAGGGCTTGTCCTTTCAAGGGTAGGAATTATGGAAGAAAGGTTTAAATGCAAAATGACTTTTTACTTTGAAGACACTATAGAAAGTAATTTAATACTTTACTAAAAATCTCTAAAATCTATAAAGAAAAATGGCATGAGTAAAAAAAATCTTAGGTGGAGACATAGAATTTCATTTTGTTGTTTTATTGTGGGGGGAAAGTGGAATATATGAAGCAGCATTAAAAAAATTTTTTAAAAAATTTTTTGTAATTGTCATAAAACATTTATAGTTGTCATGAATGACCGCTTAAGTTGACATTTATAATAGTGATTAAAAAAAAGAAACTTCCATGCAGTTAAATGGATATTTCCTCTTATCCTAATTTAATTAAAAGTTACATCTTACTACTGAGACCTATGAATGTCACATCTTCTCCCATAGGCAAACTGAAAAACTAGTGCTTTTTAATGCTAAAGTGTAACCCAGTGATTAAAGATGTCTGCCTTGATACTTTATATCCCTTTTAAAAATCAGGGACATCTGACTCTATGGTTTTATAGAAATATCTCACCAACACTTAAAGATTAAAATTAAGTTAACTCTTTATTTAAAAGTTTTTTTTTTTTTTTTAATGTTTATTTATTTTTGAGAGAGAAAATGAGTGTGAGCAGGGCAGGGGCAGAGAGAAAGGGAGACACAGATTCTGAAGCAGGTTCCAGGCTCTGCACTGTTAGCACAGAGCCAGATGCAGGCCTCGAACTCGTGAACCATGAGATCATGACCTGAGCTGAAGTCGGATGGTTAACCAACTGAGTCAGTCACCCAGGTGCCCCTTAAGTTAAACCTTTATGAATAAGGCTGAGAAGATACAAAGTAAACATGACAGTCCCAACCGTTAAGAAGCATCTATTCCAGTAAGGAAGATAGATTTTTAAACTAGCTATAATTGAAAAGCCAAATAAAATAGTGCATTAAAAGAGCTCAATCGAGATTATTAATTCTGACAGGTGGCATCTGGGAAGCTTTTGTGGCAAATGTGGCATTTAAGCAGTATCTTGAGGGGTATGTTATTTATACAGGTGGACAGGTGGGGCTGGCATTACTGCGTGATGAAGCAGAGTCCTGAAAGTATCTAATACACTTAAGTAAATGTGAGACATGC